AATATTTACATTTTACTAAAAATATTTGCAAACTTAAAATCAAAAAAACTATCAATTACAAAATATATAAAAAAACACTCTGATTATATTCTAATTTCTCAACTTTAATATACATATTTCACTTTTATTGTGTCTTCAATACTTTTTGAGATATTTACAAAGAAAAATAATTGAAAATCCTAATTGAAATTCGTGAAAATTAATAAAGTTTATAATTTAAATTTAGTGAAATTACGAAGAAAATTTTCGTGTAAATACATTAGTAAATTATAAATTTACTTGGTTAAGTTTAACGCATTGATTGCTGATTGGAAAATTTTCAAAAAAAAAAATAAATATTTATCGTTTCGCTACTATAAATATATACGACAATAAACTTATTTACTGCTGCCAACGGCAATATTAGCTCGTTATCAACGTGGCTGTAGAAAACAATCGAAATCGAAACGAAACAAATGCATTCGCGATATCGTGGAAGGCCTTGTGCGGACATGTTGTATTCGTTTGTTTCGCCTCGTTGTTTCCATTATCGTTGCGTAATGCGGCTACGAACATGACAGCTTTTTACATACCTCGTATTTCAAAGGTATAATCAGAAACGAAGGAAGGAAATTAGAGATTTCAATATTATTTTCTTTCGTTTTCTCCTTCTTCGTTTGTTCTAATCTCTTCACAGGCGCCGCCTCAGCCTACATTCCTATCGATACACTTACCTATTTATTCTATCATCGTTGTCATGGCATTACTAAGTGTTGCTATTTACCAGAAACAACTGATTCATTAAAAAAAAATAAACAAGTTTCTAAAGTATAGCAACTTTAGTTCGAAAATTTCCTAAAAGAAAAAATTCCCAAAAAATTACAAAAATTCACTGTCATTTTATGAAAAACAATTGAATTTTATATTAATAACTGTCATATCACTTTTTGAAAATTAGTCATTATTTAAAAAAAACTGTCAATGTATTAATTTATGTATTATTATATAGTATTATTATGTATTATGTATTAACAACTGTCATATTGAAATTCTTATAACAACTGTCACTTTTTGAAAATTAGTCATTATTTTTAAAAAACGTCTTTTTTGAATATATGAAACTTTTTTATAATATTTTTTTCGAATAAAATGAAGAAACAATTGCATTTCAAATAACAACTGTCACTTTCTGAAAAACAATTGAATTCTATTTTAACAACTGTCATCTTATTGAAGAAACAATTGAATTTTATTTTCAGAACTGTCATATTATGAAAAACATTTTTAATTCATATACCAACTGTCATATTATGTGAAACAATTAACATTCTTATAACAACTGTCACTTTTTGAAAATTAATCATTATTTAAAAAAAAAATGTCTTCATTAAATATATGAAACTTCATGATAGTATTTTTTTTTTCGAAGAAAATGAAGAAACAATTGAATTTCAGATGACAACTGTCACTTTATGAAAATAAGTCAGTATTAAACAAAAGAATGTCTCATTCAAATATATGAAACTTACTGACTTTACTTTTTTTTCAATAATATGTGAAACAGTTGAAATTCAAATAGCAACTGTCACTTTCTGAAAAACAATTGAATTTTATTTTAACAACTGTCATATTATGTGAAACAATTGACATTCTTATAACAACTGTCACTTTTTGAAAATTAGTCATTATTAAACAAAAGAATGTTTCATTTAAATATATGAAACTTCCTGACAGTACTTTTTTTTAGAAAAAAATGTGAAACAATTGAAATTCAAATAACAACTGTCACTTTATGAAAAATAATTTTAATTCATATACCAACTGTCATATTATGCGAAACAATTGATATTCTTATAACAACTGTCACTTTTTGAAAATTAGTCATTAAAAAAAAATATCTTCATTAAATAAATGGAACAATTGAAATACAAATGACAACTGTCATATTATGAGAAACAATTGACATTCTAATAACAACTGTCACTTTATGAAAACAAATTCTTATTAAAATCCAAAACAATTGATTTTTGTTTGTTTTTATCTAAACGCTTTTGGATTATTCAACGTAACTAACTTAAAAATAAATTTATAAAATAACTCATTATCAAGAAAAAAAACAAATGTTAATAATACTTATCTTGATTTAGCGTAAAGTCAGCACAGAAATCCAAAAATTCTATCAAACTTACCTAATTGAATCAATTTTGATCATTACAAACGTTTTTCAATCCAGTCGTAAAAACATACACTATTAGCAAGTCACAATTTTACCAAGAACATCCTGAAGATAACGATACGAAAAAAAAAACACTATTCATTATCAAAAACCGGATGAATCATTGCAAATTACGTAGCGTAGAAATTTATGCAATATGTTATTTCCGCGATAATTTTATTTATTACGTCGTTGCCTTGACAGTAAAAAAAATAAAAAAAATAATCAACCAAAATAAACAATCGTCGTCTTGACAACGAACAGAAGAAGGAAAGGATTGAGGGATTTTTGAGCGAAGATTCAAAATTTAAAAAAAAAACCCAATAAAGTATAATTAAAATCGTATACATTTTTTTTCCATCTCCAAGTTGTTGTTCTTATTTCATCCACTTCTTGTTAAATGTATATAATATATATATGTAATATACTTATATATTGCTCAGCATGTACAATACATATACATTTTTTATATATATATAGAAAAGCGTACAGACAAATACAAATGCTCTTAATTAAATCGATATTAGTGTTTTGTTTCCATATATATATATTAATTTTTACTTGTTTCTCCTCGATTTCGCTTGAATCGATAAATTTATAATCGTTTATAATTAATCATATAATATCTACTATACACGCACATGTTTACAATTAGGGCTTTTGCATCCAATATTTTTCTGTACAATTAAAAGAAAAAAAACACTTTCAATACATCAAATAATAACTAAAGATCGAATAAATTAAAGGGCCAAGGGAAAAAGACAGAAATATTTATATATATATAGATAAAATATACAACGATGAATTTGCGAGACAAACGAAATTTGTGCTTTTTCTTTTGTAAATTATATAAAAAACCAGATGTGATATGTTAAAACAAAGGCTAAAATCTAAAGTTTCATAAACATCTAGTTTTCATTACAATAATTAAGTTCAATTGTTATGTATATAGTACACGTGTAATTTATTGTTATTTCAGTTTGTATCCAGCTGAGACATTTTTACTAATAAATATATTTTGTTGCTGTTGTTGTTATAATTGTATTATTTCATATCATATTTATACGTAAGAGAATTGCGGTTTTAGACTACATATATTTACATTAACATAAAGAGAGTAGAAACTATAAACAGAATGCATCAGATTACATAATATACTTAATTTTATCATCATCATCAATCCTTACGTTCTTTTCTTTTGTTTTGATTAAATAGACGTTCATTTATTTTATAAAATATATGTGTAAATATATAAGTACAAAAAAAATCATTTTCACGTCCCTAAATGCATCCATCCTAATATACACCAAACATCAAATACAATAATAATATAATCCTCTATATCCATGAAAAAACAAAAGATAAATCGAAAATTGTTTTGGTTTGGGGTTGCTTTTGTTTTTTTTGGGCAGTTCACGTTTCCTCAATTATAAAAAATCTGGTCCCTATATATTTATTCATTCATTTATTTTTTTTTAATTCACAATATCAAAAACTAAACAATTATATAATAGATGGCACTGTTTTTTTTTTGTTGTAATGAATTTCCCCAGAAAAGTTGGGTTAATTTTGTTTATTGTATTTGATTTCTTGGAAAAAAATCACATTTCGTTTGCATTCGAACGGGGGGGGAGAAAAAAAAATAATAATAATATATATATTTATATATAAATTCATCGTTACTTAGTTTTATTACTTTTTTTTTTTTGTTTATAATTAATAATTATTTAATTAATTAATTAAACATTAGTTACGTATATAAAATCTCACAATTTGTTTCGCGAAACGTCGCGCACTTGTTTCTTTCCTCTCCTCATCGTCGTTTGTTTCTTTCATTGATTTTGTTTGATCTTTCGTTTGTTTTTTAATTTTTTTCCTTTTGTTTTTGGCAGCTTATTTACGTAGATATGTCCATTAGAAAGAAACAAAATAATTATAATAGTAATAATAATTCAGTCGAAACGAAAGCTTATCGTACTTACAAAATATGTTATATATTTACAAGAGAAATAATAATTGATTACTCAGCGATTATTATTTTTTTTTCTTTCTTCTTTTAATAATTAAGTGTTTAATATTAATGCTATATCATTCTTATACACCTATTATAATCATAATTATTACAATTTTTAGTATGGCACTACCACTAAGTAAATAATAATAATTATTAAAAAATTTATATGTGAAAAAGAAGGGGGTTGATGCAGTTATTGGTAATTTTTTTTGTAACTTCTTGAGTCTGATGCAAATGCATACAACAAAATTAGATAATCTGCGAAGGGTTTTTCTTTAGAAACTAAATGTGCGTGTTTCCACTAACTTCTTTTGTTTTTTTGTTGTAAGATGGGAGAGTATTTTTAGGATCTCCGGAGATTAAGTCAAACAGGCTATGGTTTCACTCAATGTTTGTTTTTTTTTTGTTTGTTTTCGAAATAACAACTTGAGACTGGGATTCAACCTAGTTTCAATTGTAAGACAATTCGTTTTGGTTTTTTTTTTTTAAATTCAAATCCGGATGATGATAATCCATTTTTTTTTAACTTGAAGTTAGATTTAATTAAATGATGATATCTCAAAATCTAGATGATGTAATAAGTAGATTTGTGTAGATTTGAAATGATTAATCAACTATATAACTTGAGATTAGATTTAGTTAACTAAAATTGAAAGAAATCAAGAAACCCTTCGCACGTTATCTTTGAATTTGTTTTTGCTGAGATATATATAGTTGGGCAGATAGATAAAGATACAAAGATTAAGGGAGTAAGTTTGAGAGTTTGTTGGGGGGGGGG